GAACTTACAAGATTAACTTAACAAGCAGGAAAGAAAGTTTGTTTGTTTGTTTTTTTAATCCTTTATTAAATACAGTTTTCAAGTATTGCATTCCCTGTTCATATAACACCAATACCATTTAATAACAAATGACTGAGAGGAAAAGAGTATCAAGAGAATCAGCTCCATATCCCAACATTCCTAAGCTTGCTCTCATATTGCATTTTGGTTGCTTGCATCTCTGATGTCTTCCTTCAGAAGCAAGTTAGTTCAGGCTACTGCATTTATCCTCTATTGCAGAGGTTCCCAGATGTCAAAATTCGTGCAGCAGCATCAGTTTTATAACCCGAAGCAAGAGCAGACAGCTCTTGCTAAGCAGAACAAAAGACTTTCAGAAATACTGATATTCACAGCATCCAGCTGCCTCTGAACACCATACCCCACCCTGCTTCCTGCAGCTGCATCTTCCCAGAGAGAAAGAGATATCAAACATTCAGTCTCTGAGCCACAGAACATAAGCCTTTAAAACAGTGGAAAGATGACTGGAAAGTGACTTGGGGCCACAGAAACACAGTAGGCTTTGTATGCTACTAAGCTGTCTGAAACAATTAAGCCAAAAAAAAAAAAAAAAAAAAGAAGAAGAAGAAAAATAAACCCACAAAAGAGAGCCAGAAACTCACCAGCGTGCTCAGAAAATGCCTGAAAGTCTTAGGGCCAAAGAGACCCAGCTCCCTTGGTGAGCTTCAGTACAGGTCTTCAGAGGGAAGACGACTTGCTCAGTTTGTCACAAGTGCCCGACTGAGGGCATACAGCTGCTGCCAAAACCAGGACAATGCTCAACAGCACCTACATGTATGACACCCTTCTCTTTGACATTCAGGTTCAGATTAACAACAACGACTGCCCTAAAGCTTTCTTTCAGCTTTTGTATGGACTTCAGTAAAGACAACGGCGCAGAAACAGTTCTCAGGAAGAAAAATATGTAAGCAGACACTCTGGGTAAGAGCGGAAATCCACCCATCATATATGTGGCTCACACAAGGAAAGAGAAACTATGGTTCTCTTGCTCCCCAAAAGGACAAGAGACAGGAAACACTAAAGAAAAAGCGAGTGCTGGTGCCTCCTTACCAACAGGTGCTGAGGCATCATTTGAACCACATAGGAAAACGGAACCATAGCAGCCCAAGTTCGGATGCGTTTCCTCACATACTCAGTCCGTTTTATTTTCCATCACTCTAAGCTCTCTGCATCGTATGAGAACAGAAGGGTGAAAAGTTGGGCAGAACAACAGCTCTGTTCCCTCAAAGATGGGCTTCATCTCCTGGAATTAGGTCAGACTGGTAAGCAAGGCCAGCAGGAGCCGGGCTGTTACAAGCAGTGGTTTCAGCTACAAACAGCAGCATCCCTTATCCCAACAACTTTTGAGGATCACTGCTTTCCACGAATTAAATCTTTTGCTGTAATTCTCACCTGTGTCACACTCAAACCAGCGGAATTAACAACGATTTTTCAGCTCACTGGCCATACTGAAGACAGGTTCTGTTCAGGCATCCAGAGAAGCTCACTTGCAAAGCAAACAAATTAAAATACAAGACCTACAATCACATTTAATTAAAACTGTTTCAAAACAGCCAGAATGCTTTGGGTTCCCCACCCCCCTACCATTTCCTGAGGGGAAAATCAGATTTCAGTAATTTTATGAGACTCCAATTATTAAACTAAAAGCCAGCCATCACAAACCTCGATCAGGTTCACTTTTAAGATATCTGATGTAGTTCTTCACCTTTTCCTTGCTGGAAGCTTTTGGCTGAGCACGAGTCAAAAGGCCAAGGAGAATGATGCTGTTCCAGAACAACAGGCTGGAAGGCTGCATCACTCCCCTCAAGCAAGCTAACAACAACACATCTCTAGGTTTTAGGGCTTGTTACACTAGCAAGGAAGACACCTGCTTTGGATTCCTTTAGCTGCTGTTCCCACAGCAACTTTCTGCAATACCTACCCCAAACTAAAGAAAACCCTTGTTTGGGTGTTTATTTCCTTATTTCAGGCAAGGGACACGACAGTCCTGGTATATTCATGGATTTTGTGAATTACAGCCTGTTAGCAGCTTTTAAAATATGCCACGAATGCTGAAGTACAGAGGCCCCTTTTACCAGAACTGGCAAGTTTTGACCCAGGAAGCCACAGTGCGAGGCAGCATGGCACAGAAAGCCTGCAGCTAAAAAAAACATTCTTGGATCACATGTAAGCTAGGCATAAGCATCTCTTTTCTTGTTCCCGAAGCCCACATTTTGCCATACACCATTCAAGTGGATTTTTTTTTTTTTTTTTTTTTTTTTGGTGTGTGTGTGTGCAAAAGCTGAAAAATCACTTAAAATGAGGATCTGTAAAAGCAGCTTTGACAATAGCTCTGTGAACTCCACTTCCCCCATACACACTTGAATTGAATTTCTAATCTAATAGTGAGATTAGAACAAGAACACCATTTATTCATGTTCAGGACTGCTCAAACCACGCCTAAAACACAATGAGAAACTTGTCCAGTTGACATTATTACTCTTCTCACAAGCCTGTCAGCACAACACCCATTTACTGGTAGCAGCTGACTTGCAGCCACGCAGCACAACCTAATAAACTGAATCTAACTACCTTCAGAGAAAAATCAAGGTCAGCCTCAAGACTCGAGATGCTGAACGGGATCAAAAAGCACATTCCTCAGTTACTCACTGGAAGAAGTTTGTTGCAGGCTAACTTTGAAGACTACCTACATGTTTGTGTTCAGACATGAAAAACTCATTGCACGCCGTGTCAATAATTCCTCTGCTATAATCTAAGGGTAAAGAGTTAAAACTACAATGCCAAGCAAGTGCCCTCACCTGGCTGAATTCAGGGCTAGAGAGAGGGAAATCATGATCACGATACACATCATACCTAAATCTGGCAAAAGGTTACTCAGAGCATAATGTAGTTCAGTTAAGCAAGAACATATCTGGTAGCTACACAGCTTCTATACACAGCACTCACAAAAGATTTTTTTGATATGATTTTCATCTCAGGGGTCAGAAAGGGAAGGAAAGAGATTTGAAACAGGAAAGCAGCGTAAGATGAATTATTTCACACTGCACTAAATGTCAAGTAAAACTTGTACTAATGCCCAAAGATAAGAATTGAGGCTTCTTCTGATTTAGTCTCCTTACTTGATGAGGGGAGTGGAGATAACAACTGAACAAAGAGGAACCAAACTGCATCAGTTTACACTGAGTAAAGATGATACAGAACACAGACTAGACAAAGAATATCAGCTTTCAGTAATTTTGATTTATTTTTAGATCCTATCCTTTAGCAAGGCCTTGCCAACCCAAGAGTGAAACCATTGCCTAAAACAAGCAAAAAAAAAAAAAACCAAAAAAACAAAAAAACAGCCACGTAATGAACAGGCACACTGTTTTTCAGCAGATGCGTTTCCAAACTTCTGGGATGTTACTTCTGAAATCCACTGTTTTAGTGGTAGTGTAATTTTGGTCATAGAAGTTTTCTAAGGATAGGCAATTTCACCAGTTCATATACATATGTTCAACTCCTTACCCCCAAGCACTCTCTTACTGTGTCTGGTGGATAGAATCCCATTCTAAAAACACAGGTGACTGAATTTGTTTAAGAAATGCACAAAAGCTACAAAATAGCTTTCCCCCATAGCTTATTTCAACTTCACACCAATCCATAAGCCCACAATTCCTACCTGACCACCCTTCCACACAAAATCTCTGCGGAGCAGATAAGCGCTGCCATCTCAAATAACCACCTCTACCTCAATTACCTACAGTCTCACACATACTTGTTAGCATCAAGTTGCTCAGTAAGTCACATGCTTTGCTCACTGATGGAGGAAAGAAAAACATCACCCCACTGAGCACTTATCAGCAAGATACAGGGCATATCTTTACATCCTCCAAGGGCTTGTGCTTTGTTCAAGGGGTCACAAGTGTTATGACCTTTGGGGAAAGGAGGAAACCAGAAGCCAAACCAAAATGAAAAACAACACTGGAAAAATCAGACACTGCCAAATCATAGAATGACCTGGATTGAAAAGGACCACAATGACCATCCAGCTTCAACCCCCCTGCTATGTGCAGGGTCACCAACCAGCAGACCAGGCTGCCCAGAGCCACATCCAGCCTGGCCTTGAATGCCTGCAGGGATGGGGCATCCACAGCCTCCTTGGGCAACCTGTTCCAGTGCCTCACCACCCTCTGGGTGAAAAACTTCCTCCTAATATCCAACCTAAACCTCCCCTGTTTCAATTTAAGACCATTCCCCCTTGTCCTATCACTACCCAAATACTTTCTAATACCTTCCCCACCACCCACTAAGGAAGGAAAACCCAAAGGAAATAATGTACGTACTTATACTGTTCGAATTATGATTCAGAAAGGTTCCAAATGGAGCTACGAATAAAACGAGCACACGAGGTGCGCTTGGCTACACACTTATCTATATGCAGACACTCTGAAAGCGCACAGCTCTAGCTCGATACACTTACAGAGATGAAAGGTCAGCAAGGAAGCGCAGCAGATACAACAGCTTAGGTTTTACTTTTTGCATGGCACCCAGCCAATTCTTCCTAAAAAGGCAGGTAAATGCACCACGCCGGTTCTCTCGCACTGGGTCAGCCAGAACACGGCAACAGTGACCTTGAGGCAGCCCGGCCCCACGCCGACCCAGGCCCCGAGCCCACCTGCAAAGCCCTGCCCGGCTGCCGGCACCCCGCCCGCACCGACAGCCCCATGCGGCGCCCCGAGGGAGCCCGCCTGCACGGCAAGGACAAAAGCAGCGCTCCGCACCTCGGGCGTTCCTGAACCCCCCGCCCTACGCACGCCCGGGGAAATGGCTGCCCGCTCCCGAAGGCGGGGGAGCCGCGCACTCGCGTTCCCAAGGCACAAAATGCCGGAATTCTAAAGGAAAACCGAGAGAGGGCGGCAGCCACGGGACGCGGCGCTGCCCCGGTCGGGGCTCGGACTCACCCGGGCGGTAGCTGCTCGCCAAGTTTCGCTAAGTTACAAGGAGAACGAAACGACGTCGAACACGCTTCCGGAATCCTTTCACCGTCTACGGCTAGTCCATGAGCACAGCTACACCACCTCCAAACCCAACACCAACAACCACCCGCACCCCACAAAGCTCCAATTTCCCACTCCCACCAAGAGCTGCCGGGTGCCGAGCAGCGCGGAAATGCACCGCCAAGCCACGCCTCGCGCCCGGGCACGCAGCCGCTGCACACAAAGGAGACGCGCAGCACGATGCTCTCCTCCCACACCGAGATCCCCGATCCCTCCAGCTGTCCCTGTGTTGTCGGACTGCCCGCGGGTCCGGGTGGGGCGGTGAGTTCCGGCAGCCCCACCCCAGAGTGGGGAACGGCAGCTTCGCAGCGCGGATCAGCTGGCGGAAGCCCGTGCTTAGCTTGACTGCTGTTGTTATTGCTTTAGACGGGTTTTCTGGCTGAGATTACTGTGCTCACACCCTACAGGAGAACGGTTCGCTGGTGGCAGCTAACAGGGCAGGTAGCTGAGCAACCTCGCTTCCTCCAACATCCCTCAGACTTCCATAATGAGAATGAGCACGAAGCAATTCTGAAGTAACCACGAAGGCATAACCTAAGCATTTCCTAGAAAACCCCAAGATGAAGGAAAAAATAAAGAAATAAAAATCTAAATTGAGCTTTGAGCCTCCCAGTATCCCAGGGCCCCAGGTGAGACCCTCAGGAGGTCTATATGAGTATTAAGTGTCTGCCTCGTGGTTTTCAACTTATGTTGTGAGCAAGTGCGAGCTCGCAGTTGAGGCAGTCACCCCCCTGCCTTCGTGTGCCTGTCCTCCAGTGCAGCCCTCTTTGGGCTTATCTCAGCTTTTCCTGCCCCGCCTGCGTTTTACATCCTGCCCTCCCAAATTATGAGAAAAAGGCACTTTTGGCCTCCATATCGCTCCTGCACAGATGAAAAACGCTAAGGCCTGCTTTGTGAAAGGGCTTCAGGAAGTCAGCTGGATGTGAGGGAGGGCATGTGCTGAATAACAGCCGGAAAGCTGAGGACGGGGATGGGAAACAAAGGCTTTCCTCTGCAGCGGCTCTGTGTACCCCAGTTTCAAGCTTAGCTCCTGACTTCCACACACTTCTGCTGTTCTCTTCTTCGTGCTTTAAGATCACTTTCAGCACGAGGAAAGGTCTGCGTCACCTTTGCTCTCTTCCTCAGCACCTCATGAACTAGAGAAATGCACTGATGTGTAGAAAGGTGAGGGAAAGGAGGATGGTTCAACTCCAGAGGCATTACTACAGCCCTTGTATTCTCTGCGCTTCTTTATGTGCTTCAGGGCCTGGAGTTTGGGACTGCTTTATTCCTCCAGATTAGCAGCACGCACTCCACATGGAGATAACAGCAATCCAGCTAAAGGATGAAAGGAAAATGTGTACAAATACACTGTTTAAGTTTGATGCTTCTCTCATGCGATGCTTTTAGGTCAAGGCCAAGAATTGGTACCATGCTGGAGTTAGTAAGGATAGGCACAGAGCTCCTATCATATAAAACCGTCTGAAACGTGAGAGAACAGGCACACCAGTGAGTGCATCACAGTCACAGTGGGATTTCTTCTCATCCCCTACATGCAGTTATTCAAATAAATGTAAATATGAAGGTTTTATTCCTGACTTCAAAGCCCGAATTCTCACAAATGCAACAGATTGCATTTGTGAATGCCTTAGGTGCCAATACTGTGACTGCTGGCTTAAGCCAAAGGCAGGAAAGGCTGAATACTTGGAGAACCTTGGCTGGGCTAAGCTGTCCCGGCGCTTGGGTAGATCATGCTTCAGGGCTCCCATCTGGAGACACACCTATAGATCATTGCATGATAGTGGCTTAGGATTCTTAGGAAGCAGAATAAAATTGAAGTGACTGCTAAAGCTGAAAGAAGATGCTTGAAGAAGGATCACTTGGATCTTAGGGAAGATCTAAGTGAGGAGGGGGAGATAGGAGAGGTCAGTAGATTATCACAGCTAGAAGAGATCCCTTCCTCATCTCAGAAGCTACTCCAGTCACCTTTTGCTGAGCACTGAGCTACATCTTTGGTAAAGTTCACAGCCAAGGCAGGATTCATTATTATGTTTATCACCTGGAACACAATGGGACAGAATGTGCAATAGTAACTGTTAAGGTTCAGCAGAGGGAGCAGCTTTAGGAACTAAGCACTGTGAACTGAAGAAGGGGATTCCTATCAGTAGAACAAGGATCACTTGCAATTTAAAATAGACTTTGCAAAATGGTCAGTGCTTGCAGTGTAATCAAATTAACCGTATTGACTGTCAGCATGGAGATGGTTCAAACAATCTCTCTATGTGCAATTTATTAGCTTTTGACATTATGTCTGCTCTTTGTGCTTAGAAAATTAGGGTAAATATCTCATCCTTGGCAGACGTGCTAACTAAGCGCAAGAGAAAACTGATAGCCTTCTAAAAGACTTCAGCAGTAAGAGGGTGTAATAGCACTACAGGAATAAAAATAGAAAAACCTGATCTTTCACTTAACTTGTGCAGGCATGACCACGCATGATTTGCTAGCGCAGTTTCCCCTAGCCACTACAGAGCATATCTCACAATTAATGATTAATGCATTATGAGTAGCTGGTGGAAAATGGTAAGGCCAGAGCTATTCACCAATTCCATTGTATGCCAGCAGCTTTATCATGACCAGCTGCTTAATTTTTCAGTGGAATAAATTTCTATTTTTATAGGAAAGCTTCCGGGAGTGGGAGCTAAATTTGAAACTAACACATGATTTTGATAATCATGAGGTTAAGAGAGAGGAGCCTGGGGATCAGAATCTGCTGAGAGGCTTAAGGTGCTGGGAAATCAGCAGCTGGACCTAAAAAATTAGTTAAAACATTTTGGTGAAAACCTTTAGAAGGTTTCTGAGATCAGTTAAGGAAAAAAGAAAAAAAAAAAAAAAGGAATAAATTTGAGCGGTATTTTTTAGATATCACATATAATTAGAGTGGGTCAGACCAAACTGGTGATTTAACTTCATTCGTCATTTCGCCACGTTTCTCCATTTCCTCGGCTCCCTCTGCTGGTAGCAGCGAGTATCGCATCGCTTCTCCACCACTGCGATGCCCTTTGCACACCGGCGGTGTCGAGAATTAATATTGCTAAAACATGAAACATTGGTGAGGATTACAGCGAGCCTGTTAATAATTCATCCCTTCCGCACTCATTTAGAAACATTTATATGCCGCAGACTCTATCATTCAATATAGTATAGCTTTCCTTTATCATTTTAAAAAGCTTAAAGGTCCGCACAAGGAAAAATATTGCAAAATAAATGTCTTTCCTCACGGTTTTCTTCTAGACTAATCGAGACGCTCTGTTTCTAGCGTCTTTGTTATGCAAATCTTTTACTGCAGAAAGAAAAAAAAATCGGGTTTTTCTGCTGACCTTCACTTTGGCTATGGAAGCAGTGACATCCAGCGGCTAGGGAATCAAAAGAGCTTTTCTCATTCTTTTATTTCTGTCAGAGTGCATCTCGGAAAAAAATGGCAGGGATCCTTCGGCGTTCCATTCTGGTTGTGCATATTTGCAAATGGCACCAATTACAGGCAGTCTGACAGCTGTGGGAACGGATAAGACACACGGGGAAACAAAAATGCAGAACAGGAAACAAACAGAAAACACCCTATGAGGCAGATCATCGTTCTCGTGGATTTAAAAGGACACCACAGGCAGGAAACACCATGGTATTTTTTAAAGTTTTACAAAGGCAGTTTTTAAAGTAAAAAGCACTTTGCTGTATTACACCTACACCCCCCCCTGGCTTTACAGAATATTCCTTTTTAAAAAGGCTTTTTTTTCCTAACCTTATTTCTGTACCAAACAAAAAACAAATGAATGGCAGGCTTTCAAAGAAACAAAGGAAAGGTAATTGAAAAGAAAATGCTACAGGGGAGTTTTATTGTTCAAATCCAGAATAAGAAAGTTTTCAATTATTAGTGTTCCCAGCATTAGAATTTCCATTAAGGAACTGAGTGTTCAGTTGTGACGTTGTATTTGGTGCACTGACAAAAGACTTACTGCATACTTGTGTTAAATGAAGAAAACATCAAAGCATTAAATATGAGTAAGGAACTGGGAGCAGAGGTAGCTGTCGATACAACAAAATCAACAACTATTAGAAATACCTTTTTTTAATGAACACTAATAGAAGGCATTCAGACCTTGACCAGTACCTGTCACTGGGAATTCACCTGCAATTGAATGGCTCCTGCCTTGATGTTCTCTGCCCCTTTAATTTCCTTGAGACTGCCCTTTTCATAGCCTTTCTAACTGCTCCTAGGCACCACATATCTTCCCTCCTTTCCATTTGTATTCTGTCAACGTGGACTTCAGAAAGAATGAAGCAACTCCAAAAAAATCCTGAGGCTGGCTTACTAAAAAACAGTTTAATTCCTAATTCTTCTCAACATTTTCAAACATCATTTGTACTTTTTGTATCTCCAAATTTACGTTGACCTCTGAAAGATGTGCTTAAAGAATTTTGACACGTGAGTAAATTTATATACCTTTCAAATATAGAAGTACGCTGTTCCTCCGGCTGTTTACACAAACTGTTGCTGTTAATAGTGACAAAAGGCACATTCCCATATTTGGAGGTCTCACATGGTTACTGTACGCATGCCTTTGCTGATGGAGCATAGAGAACTTGCAGTCTCTGACAGTATTTTAATAATTATCTTCATCCTCTAAGGGACTTCATGGGTCTTTCTAACAACATTCCTCTGCTTAAGTGTATGCTTCATCATGTTATAGCATTGGAGATGTACGTACTTAACAGCCATTATCCTTTGGCTACATGTTCTAAATGCTTGACCTAGTGGTTTCCTGACTTCATTTTCAGCCTTTTTGTTGGAATAACAGCAGGGCTGCAACACAGTGGCATTTATCTCATAACAGAGGACCTTCCGGAGTTTGTCTCAAAGAACCATGGGCACACACTGCCAGAGAGGGTGAAATTCAACCACACATCCAACAAAACTTCAAGTACATGGCTTAGCGAGTTCTAAAGTACTTGACATTACATTTCTTGGAATTTATCTGCCTTCCAGCCCATACTCCAAGGACTGTGTACGTATTTCACATTTCACGTTTACGTAAAATGTGTAAACAGCCATTAGAACAAGGCCTGAAATCCACATCTCTCTGAGCTCAGTACTTTCTTGACTGTCTTTTTGCAGTATCTGTCCCCTGCAAAAGACAAAACCTTCCAGTTCCCACTGCAACGAAAGCACAACTCAAAACTTAGTAAGAGCTGTGATGCACAAGTCTGCTCCTGTTGTAAGTTCCTTCTAATGAGCAGCATCTTGCAAGGTAAGAAACAGTAGCTCTCTGCCATTTCTTCCATCATCTCTTTTGTGTTTCCTACCACCTGCATTCCAAAAAACAACATGCCTGTTGAAAACAACTGTTATGCAAGCACTCACCTTACGGGTACTCTCTTTCAGCAATAAAAAAAAAGAGGGCAAAAAGCCTTCAGACAATTCTTTACTTCTTGGGGCAAACTCTCTGGCTGCTCTGAATCCCATTGGAGCCCGTCTCCACTCTGTCATTTAGTGTCTCAACTTCTTGACACCATCACAAGCACCGGGTTCTGAAAATCTAAAAACTAAGAACCCCATATTAATGCTTTTTGCTTTTAACCTAAACACTTTTATACAACACCAGGACAGTTATTTTATTCAAGCACCTAAACTAACCAGGACAGTCAGTACAGCTGAGAATGTGCACATAAACATCTACCTAGATTTTGTGAAACAAATGTGGGAGAAGACACAGACCAATGTAGATTTTGTCCCCAAACCCTCAATGCTAGTGCTGTTTCAGGCAACAGTGAACAACAAACTATGAAGAGTGCATATTAGTTAGTTAAAATTAGGCCTATTTAGACACTTTAAGTCAGGATTTTACCCATAACGATGCAATCGCAGAACTTGCACAACTGATTTAACACAAACCAATACCAGTCCTCAGTGCTTGTGAAGTTCAGGCTTTTAGTTTTCATATAGTCATCACCAAGCATGACCATAGGTATGGCTAGGCAAAATAACAGCCCACATTCTTTTCCCCCTCCCACAGTTATCTAATATATATGCCATCTAATTAAGGATATTCTGGAACGCTTGATGCAGCACATTTGGAAATGGAAACTCTGTATAATCTGTTTTTTCATACTGTTACCCATTCTTTAGAATCATAAACACAAAAAGAAACTCGCTCTCATATCACGGTTATCTTCTGGAGTGAACATTAGATGTCTTCTATCTTCCTCGCGGGCAATCACACAAAGAGCTGGAATTTTCAGAGCCTTTAATTACCAAGAAACTCACTTGGATAGATGTAGTAGTAATTCAAGATACAACAGAATGTCTTGAATGCAGAATCTCTGAATTATCTAGACTGACAGGATTTTATCAGGATTGACTAATCTAGACTGACAAGATTTAGGACCTGAGGGAATGGCATGAAGCTGCATCAGGGAAGGCTCAGGTTGCATATGAGGAAAAAGATCTTCACCAAGAGGATGGTCAGAAACTGCAATAGACTCCCAGGGAAGTGATCAGGACACCAAACTGCTGGAGTTCAAGAAGCATTTAACTAATCCCCTCAAATGTAGGGTTTGAATTTTGGGTGGTTCTGTGTAGAGCCAGGAATTGGACTGGATGTGCTTATATGTTAAAGAAAAAAAAAGAGTGAAGACATTTCATCTACATAAAATTTTATTACCCTTCAACCTTAGGCTAATACTCAGTTTCTCCAGGTTTAGCAAGGTTTTGCTCCCCTAGGTAGACAGGCTTTCATCCGACTGTCTCTGACTGAAAACATCTAGGCTACGTCAGATTTTAGACCCAGCCTTTCATTAATACAGTCAGACACAACAGGTCAGCTGAAACTCTGACCACCTGAAAGACAGCAAAGCCACAAAAAATCTGGGACGGTTTTCATCAGTTATTACATTTGAAAGAGAGCCTTTCCTCGTTACTGATCACTAAATAGTTGAGAAGCAATTAAATTGCACATTCAAGAAACAGATGTGTTCTACATTTCAAGCTGTGATCAGAAAAACGTGCAACTATTTTTCAGCTGATGAAGCCTGTGGCTTTATCTTCTCGGCAGCTTCAAGGACAGATGGAAGGCTGACTTTGTCACCAAATTCTTTCTCACGATGCTCCAATAGAACACCCTATATAAACACACACACAAAAAAAAATCACAGACTAATCCCAGGCTCCTCAGAGGAGATGAGCTGATAAGCAATTTCAAAATGAGTAATTCCAAAGGAGAAACCTGCCAGTAGGTTTGCAGTTACCTGTCTTCCTGCTCCAATCACATAAACTCCTCCCAGAGTGAACCCTTCTCCTTCCAGGTTACCACTATAACCACTTTTCCAAGCACGGAAGAAATTCTGCCAGACTCCAATGCGGAAGAAGCCTGACAGCATCATTTTTCGTTTGCGTGGGCCATAGAAGCTTCTCTGCAATTAAACAGAAAACAGCGAAGTGAAAAGGACTTTTCCTCCCAAATTAAATTCAGAAGATGTTACAACCCTGTATCCAAAAAGGAGTGTAAAAAAGAAAAGCTGAACAGGCAGAGCT